TAATTTCACAGGTCAGCACGACAGCCGATGTCCTTCAAGAAGAGGAAGAGGAATACAGTCCTAGTGTGCAACACGAGTTCGTGACTTTCGATCTTGACGAGCCTTTGCCACCCCCACCACCGATCAGAGGTGGTGAATGGACCTTCGACACATTGAGAAAAACTACCCCCGTCTGATATACCGTCAGGTATACCCATTCGTTTCTTCATACCTTTCCTTTTCGTCGAATTTTTATCCTCACTTTTTTTTTTTTTTTTTTTTCTATCGAGAATTTAATTACACCGTCGCACATCAATCGTTTCCTGTACACGTTCTTTCATCGTTAAATCGAAGTAATAAATATTTAAAAATCATAAAATGTATATAAATATCATAAAATGTATGAAAATAATTCCATAAAATGTATGAAAAAATTGTATAACGTTCGATCAAAATTGAATGATCTTAGATTGTATCTCGAACACCTCGCGTAATTTTAACTGTTTGGCGATCCCTTTAAAAAAAAAATGATAAAGTATTCGAAATGGAGTCAGGCGAAAGTTGATTGGATTTCGTTGCTCGTTACGAGATGTGATATTATGAATATTATGAAGTACTTTTTTCAATCGATCAATCGTTGCTTTCATAACATGCCGCGTTGTTAATCCATTTTAACGCGATTAACTTGATGATTTAATCTGTTTAAATTGCCTATGGCAAATAATTCTTTTTTATCGATCGCGCTTTTAAAATTGCCTGGCACAAAACGAGCCAGAAAATAATCCCGAGCGAGAATTAAAATTTTACCAAAATTTTCACGGAAACGAAAACAAAAAATTAAAAAGTGAATCAGTTCGACAAACAAAATCGAACAAAAAAAAGATCAAGTGTGTATATATATATGTTATTTCATGCGCAGATACGCGAGGCTGGTGCAAAGCGTAGAAAGCGAGGAGGAGGAGGAGGAAGCGGAGGACGAAGCGGAAACCGAGGAGGACCACGACATAGCCGGTGATTAAACAAATCGAGTCGCTTTTTAATGAGATACCTCGGCAACCGAGAGATGCTTTCATCGTTCAAACTTCATCAGGGGAAAAAGGAGGAGAGAAAAAAGGGAAAAGGAAAAAACGACCAGTCTCGAAGGGAACTCGAGGGAGCTTGATCGACAAGTTTATCGAATTTCGGTTTTTTTTTAATAACTCGTCAAACTTTCACGGATGTAATTCCGCCCCGAACCGTGTAAAGGAGAAAAAGTGAATGACGTTCCAATCGATGAAATAACGATTGAGTGACACCGTTTCCATTTCGTAATTCGTTTCATCGCGCGTACACACATACACACACACACACACACACACACACACACACACACACACACACACACACACACACACACACACACACACACACACACACACACATATATATGTCTTTTTTATCAAATTTTTCTCCCCATTATTTTCGTCGAGGATACGACGAAAACTCGATGAAATTGAAAATGAAACTCAAGAGTAAGAGAAGAAACGAATCGAACAACACTTGAATTAAGTTCGATTAAGATCGATCAGCTAATTGACTGCCAGTTTCGATCTCGAATCGTGCGAGACAAATATGGTGATTTTTTTTTTTTTTAAAACGAACCGTCCCAATGAAAGAAAGGCGATGAGAAACAATGAGGAATAATTATAGGAAAAGAGCTTAACGAGACAAATTGATTTAAGTATCGTTGAATTTTTGTATTTGTACGAGAATCGTTGATGATGATATCGTTTATGCGGTGTGTTTAGAAATTTAGAAGCAAATGTAGCGTGTATCTCATGTATAGAATAAATGGTATAGAAAAATTCGAATTGGTGGAATAAACTTTCGTCGTTTTTAAATTCGTCGATTGTTAACGCGACGGTAATTTTCAAGTCTATTAAGATTATTCATCGTTTGTTTCTTTATCCGTGGTGAGAGAAATATATCCGAGAAAGAGGAAATGTTTTTTAAAAAGACTGTAACACACATCTGCCATTGAAAGCAATCGAGACTGCGAATCGATTAATTTATAAATTCATAAACATTAATATATTTGTAATGATCGAACGTATCCAAAGATTTTATCTTTAATATTGTGGGGACCAAGAGGAATCGAAATTTGTTTTCTTCTTTTTTCTTTTTATTTAAATTATTTTGAAATTTTTTCGAATTATTTTTTCTAATCAACTGTTTGATATTTGTTATTCATCGATATTGCTTTAAAGAATGAAGAAATATTGAAAGAATGAAGAAATATTGTTGTAAGAATTTTTATTTAATTACAGTTATTATTGTATTTTAATTTTACTTTTTTTTTTTTTTGATATTTTTAGAATAATTTATAATTTGTTTGGAATATATATATATTTTTTTTATATATTACAATATAAGGTCTTCGTGGTGTTAAAATGAACATAAACTTCTACCAACGATTTGATATCAATGAAAATATTGATCGAAAATATTGATTAAATCGAACGGGAAAAAAGGATTATTGGAAATGTAATAAACTATATTCATGAAAGGAATTTCTTCAAATGAAAGAAGAAAGAAGAAGTTGGAAGAATTTTAAAAATGGAATAGTAATTTGTTAATTATATCACAAACTTTATCTCATAAACATAAAGTGATTAAGAAAGTTATACTGTACAGAACATATGATATTGTTACATCATTACCATGTCTAAAAATTTTTAACACGATTAAATAGATAATAAGTTTTTTATACAGTAGTCAATTTTTCACCAGAAATTATATACTAACTTATTGAGATTAAACAAAGAAAAAAATTATTATTATTATTAAGATTGTCTATTAATAGATAGTATCAAAAATAAAGAAAATTTGATCAAAAGTCTGATGAGAAATATATATATATATGTATAAATCATCTTAAGTTGTATAAATTTTTTTTCTGATTTAAAAAAAAAATATTAATTTTCTTTTCTTTAATCGTATTAAAAATCGTATTATATAAATTTTGATAAATAATTTTTTTTTATTTTTTTTAAAAATAATTATCTTTTACAATTTACTAATTTTTCTTTGACTCTACATTTTTAAATAAATTTTTATATATAACATTCCAGTCACATAAAAATTAAAATTAAAGTTCATATCTTATATATATACATATATATATATATATATATATATATATATATATATTGTTATAAAAAAAAATAAGATGATATTGTAATGTAACATATCCAATTCAAATTTACAAAATTGAATTCTTAGCAAATTTAATTAATTAAAAGTATGAAAATTTTATATATTTCCAAAATTAAATCATTTAATAAAAAAATAAATAATTTTGATTTATAGTCTAAATAAATTTTTACGTAACTGGAACGTGTAACAATATTATTGCAATATAAAGGCTTTAACATTTTTTTCTTAATTTTACAAAAACTACTTGTAAATAAATTTAAAATCTACAATGCAATATATATTGTAAAACGCATTTATAAAAAAAATTCATTTTATATTGTACATTTGTAACGCTCAAAGTCAAATCATTAAATGTGAGACTCAAAGATTTCTTAATAGTTTTTAAGTAAAATCAAACTGGGCAAATAACATTTGACAAAATAAAAAAAAAATTGATTAACTTATTAAATATAATATTTATCCTTAATAAAGAAAAAGGAAGGAAATTCTTCAAATGTTACCATTGTTTATAAAATAATCCATATTCATTAATATGTATTAAAAGTTCATCGTTTATGTATTCGATGGTAATCTAAACTTTACTATTTGTACAATAAAGTTTCTTGAAATTAAATCTTGAATTATTATATATTAATTAAATATTTCAATATTTCATTATATCCCATTAAAAAAATCTAGATCATTTAATATTATATTAATAAATATATTTGATGTCTCTCTCAACGAATCTTTATTAATTTGAAACTTTAATTTGAAATTTACATAAAACATAAATAAAAAGAATAATCAGGTTAAAAAAATATAATAGAAATAGAAATAGTATAAGAATTAACTATTAATGCCATCTCTTGAGTAATAGAGACACTTCTTAAAGCAGGATAAAGTAGATTAACAATTAAGGAACAGCTCCATCTCTCGAATGCCAAAGACATTTTTTTCTAAAAATGTTCAAGAGATGGCGTTAGTGAATTTTTATTCTATCTATATTCTTTTCTTATTATTTGTTATTCTTACTTATTTAGTTTCATTTGTCATATTCTAAATATTGCACTGATTATATGATTTTTCTCTATTTCTGTTTTTCTCTTTCAAAATTACGATATTTTAATGTTTAATGTTAAAATATTACATTCTCAGTTGTATAGTATATCTTTAATATGTTTAAAAATATTTAATTGAAAAGTATCGTAAATAATTTTATATTTAAATTTTCTGAAATAAAAAATCATAAAAATATTAAAAAAAATTAAAAAAAAAAAATTCCTTAAATGAAAGAAAAGAAAATAAAAAGAAAAAGATATATTATATGTACATAATATGTAAAAATATAAAAAATAATATATATATGCAATAAAAAGAAAAATACAAAAATATACACATAAAATATATTATAAATGTTTTTATATAAATATATTATAAATATTAATTATATAATATATATTATATATATTTAGTATATAATATATAAAAATAATATATATATATATTTTAATAAAATCCATATGTTAAAAATTATGGTAAAAATTCTTTTTTATTTATTACGTGTGTGCACATATATTTAGTTGAAATGAGAATAAGCATGTAAATAAAAATCTTTAATATAAATAAGATTTATCGAATAATGAGATTCCATTGATATTTATTATATTATTTAAAATTTTTTTCTATTTGTAACAATATTTATCTTTATACATCTTTGTTTTTAACAATTAAATAATGGTTACAAATAGTATATATTTATAATACTTTAATATTAATCGTTTCATCGTCACTCTCATATAATTATAGTGTTAATTCATGAAACAAATTTATTCAATTGATAACATTATAATATAATAAAATTTAATAAAATTATAATAAAATTAATAAAATTGGTGATGATAAAATTATAAACTCAAATTATTAACTTTCGTAGTATCAGAGTTTAACATCACGGCATTGATGGTTCATGACATTCATGCGGTGTGAATTTATTTTTCTAAATTTTATTAATAGGAAACTAAGTAGCAACATGTTCGATACGAATTTTATAAATGAAGACTTTCATAATTGATAAGCAATCGTCATATCATTTTTTAAAGTGTTCTGGCTCTTATTATCATTACGTTGGCCAGAACAACTTAACCTTTGATGAAATATGTTTCCACCGAAAGACTTGGAGAAATCAGATTATATTAGTTTAAATATCCAAGAAAGTGCAACATTTACGCGAGGATCATCACGTAGTCTTTGGAGAGTAAGTCTGTAAAATATTTTTCCCAGCAATATAATCTTTTTTAAAAAATTATTCACAATTAAAAATTTTTTTTTTCAGCAATGGAATCAGTTGTCAAGGTTTCAAAGAAATATCCTTTATTTCTTAATTATTACAATCATATTAGTTATATTTTATCTTTTACCTGGTGATAATAAAAATGGAGTTTTAGATGAAAGTGATTATAATAACATAGAAGTACAAGATACTCTTAAATATGAAAAGGTACAATTAATTTGATATAAATGAGATTTATATCAAAGAAGAAATATTTTTTTATATTATATAGTTTCTCTAAAAATTAAATAATTTTTTAGGCAGCAGAAGATATTGTAGTAGATAGTATAAATCAAGAACATAAAGGAGGTGGGGAGGTCATTGAGGAACCTGAATTCCAACCAGAAATAAACCAGGTGGACGATGATCAAATTGGAGAACCACCTCAACCTAAACCAAATACACTTAAATTTAATGGTAACTTTGTATTAAATATTATATCTTTGTAATTATTAAACTTTTTTAGTTATTAATAATATTATATTTATTTATTTTAGGACCACAGAATAATAGACAGAAAGCTATAGTTGCAGCATTCAAACATTCATGGAATGGATATAAAGAATATGCTTGGGGTTATGATAATATAAAACCAATATCAAGAAAGTATTATGAATGGTTTGGCTTAGGTCTCACTATAGTTGATTCTCTTGGTACTATGTATATAATGGGTTTAAATAATGGTATTAATTTATATTTAACATATATTATTTATATATAGTTATATAATTATAAAAATTTACAAAATTAATAATATTTTCTATTATTTTTAGAATTTTTAGAAGCTAAAATGTGGGTTGAAAAAAATTTAGTATTTTCTTCAAATAGAGATGTTAATTTATTTGAAGTTACAATTAGAGTATTAGGAGGTCTATTATCAGCATATCATCTTTCAGGTGATAAGATTTTCTTAAATAAAGCTGTAAGTTTCTTATATGTTTCAAAATTATAACTAAATTATTCAAAGAAATTTAATTATAAATATTTCTAAATCATAGACAGAATTAGGAGATCGTTTGATGCCAGCATTTTCTACTTCATCTGGCGTTCCTTATTCGGACGTAAATCTTGGAACTAAAACTGCACATGGTCCTAAATGGGGTCCAGATAGCAGTACAAGTGAAGTTACTTCAATTCAATTAGAATTTCGTGATTTAAGTCGCAGTACAGGAGATCCTAAATTCGAAGTATATATGAACATTTCAATCGTAATTATTTTATTTGTTTTTTATAAAAAAAAAATATGCAAATTATAATTTTTCAGGAAGCAGTAGCAAAAGTGTCGGAACATGTACATCAATTAGAAAAATATGATGGTTTAGTACCCATTTTCATTAATGCTAATACTGGACAATTTAGAGATCATTCAACAATTACACTCGGTGCACGCGCTGATAGTTATTATGAATATTTATTGAAACAATGGCTTCAAACAGGAAAGACTATTAATTAGTTAGTATTTTTACTATAGTTATTTTTATTATTATTACTACTATATATTATTATTACTATGGTTTATTTAAATTTTTTTTTTATTATTTAATATTTTTTATAAATTTATGATAATCATTTAACATTTACAAATGTTTTTAGCTTACGAGATGATTATCTATTAGGTATTGCTGGAACTCAAAAGCACTTGGTAAAACGTACAGCAATTAATAAATATCTTTTCATAGCAGAACTAGTTGGAGCAAATAAAGAAATAACACCAAAAATGGTAAAATTTTAAAATAAAAATATTTATCGTAATTTAATATTATGATTAATATTATTGATAATTATTATATATATTACGTATATTTCATAGGATCATCTTACATGTTATTTGGGAGGTACTTTAGCTTTAGGAGTACATCATGGTTTACCACCTGATCATATGGATCTTGCTAATGAAATTGTTAAGACTTGTTATCAAACATATGCAATTCAACCCACATTCCTTGCTCCAGAAATTACTTATTTTAATATTCAGGTAATTATAATAATAATAATAATAATTAATAAAGATTAAAGTATATTATATAGATATATCATATATTTAGAATACAGATGGAGAAAAATCAATGGATATGTATGTAAAGATGAATGATGCACATAATTTACTCAGACCAGAATTCATTGAAAGTATTTTTTATATGTGGTATTTTACTGGGAATAAGACTTACCAAGATTGGGGATGGCAAATATTTCAAGTAAGCAATTATACTTTCCTATAAAATATATATACTTTTATTATTTATATATATTTTTAATCACACACACACACACACATATATATATATATGTATATATATAATTTATAGGCTTTTGAAAATTATACGAAAGTAGAAAAAGGATACACCAGCATTGGAAACGTGAGAATTGTTTATAATACACCACAAAAGGATATGACAGAAAGTTTTTGGTTTGCTGAAACTTTAAAGTATTTGTACTTGTTGTTTGACGATACAAGACAATTAATAGATTTAGATAGATGGGTATTTAATTCTGAAGGACATCCGCTACCTATATACGAATCGTAATTAAATCTGATCACAAAATTCATATATTGCATAATTTGTATAAATTTGCACCTTTAGAGAGTCTTAAATATCTTTCGAGGCCAGTGAATAGATATCCTAATATCCTAATAATATATGCAAATAAGAAATTAATCGAATTAATGTACTTTAAAAGATAGATTTTTAGATTAACGATATTCTACAAATAGTTTTCAAACTACATTTTCATAAAAATATTTTTCATGCATTCTTCTATAAAAGAAACAAGCATTTACTGATAATATAATAATTATTTATGCTCAATTTTTTTACTAAATTCAAAAGTATGTATTTTTAAATTCATCATTATAATCTATTCCATGATAAATAATTTAAAAATACAAAACGTATTTAAGAGATCATATTTTTAAACAGTGTATAAAAATTGTTGATTACGATGTTTAAAAAAGAAATTTAAAAAAATTATTCTCTTATAGTCTGATATTAAATCCTCTTCTTTTTAAGTAGGAACTCTTAAAATCACTTAATTACAAATCGTCTATATTATTTATTTATAAAAAAAATTATTACAAAATTTTGATTAAACAAGAATTTTAAAAATAATATTAATTTAAGATATTATCTTTAAAGATCCTAGTCAAATCAAATTTTCTTTTTTGTTAACAAATGTACAATATTTTATTTCTTACATATTTTTATATTTAATTATTTTAGTTCAAATAAACTACTAGTGAATGAACATGACATTAAAAAGTAAAGATTAATTATTTTCAAATAACATAATATTTTTTAAAATATTAAGAATATTCTCTTATCTTTTAAAATTTACTATAGAAATATTTCTATTATATAAAACATCATATATATCACATATATATATAATATAAATATATTATATTTATAAATAGTGATATATTGAGCACTTTGATTATTAGTCAAAATTTTAATTCATTATTCTTCTTATAATAATTTAAATATTATTTATTGCACATTTTTTGTATAAAATATTAACAAATATTAAATGTTTACAAAACTTTTATAGGTAATATTTAAAAAAAACGAGCAATCAATAAATTAAAATACGAAAAAATATATTATAGAAATATCACAAAAATATGTAGATGTTTTATTTATAAAGTTAATGAGATAGTAGTAAACTATCATCATTTAATCAAAATATTATAGATCTAATTCAGAATTATTATTAAAGTAATTAATTTATAAAGATAATAAAATTTAAATTTTATTTCAAAACATCAATTATATGATAGAAATTTAAATTATTCACACACAACATGCATACATTTTAGTTTTTATAGTTTTTGAAATATAATATGTAAATTAAATTGATTTTGTTGGTGATTAAATTTTATATATATATAGAATAATTATATAAGATATGGTATTCTAAAAAAAAATTTTTTTAAGAAAAATAAAATTTTTAATTTTAACATCTAAAAATGTAATTTATCTTAAGAAGAAATATAATAAAATTATTTTTAGACATATATTTGTTCATGCACTATAGCAAATAAATTTTCAATATTACTATTATTTTAAAAAAAAAATTAAACATTAGATAAAATTATTAAAAAATAATAATAAACATAAATTACATTCTTGTAATATAAAAATATTTGTTTGGCAACTTTATTCTTTAAATGTATTGTTGAATTTTATATTTATTATATTATTTTGTACTATTAATTATCATATAACTTAATATTTATTTTACTTTCCAACAAGTGTAATTCATAAAAGAAAATATAAATAATATTAGAATGAATAATTAAATTAGATAAATATATTACATTATTACATAGATTATTAAATTGCACTTTGTGTTACTAATTTCATTATTTAAATATTTTATTATATTTGCAAAACAATCGATATGATATTCGTACTTTTGATTTTTAAAATATTTTAATACAAAAATCAAAAAATAAACCATATGAATATATGAAACATTTATTTAAAGATAAATATATTCTGTTTGTTGAATTCAATTTCATTATATATCATTATAATCTTTAAAAATCAAAATAATTTATTTATGTCTATATTATATATCAATAAGATATAATTTGATATTACAAAATGCAGAATTTGAAAATTTTTAATTATTGAATTTCTTATATTATTCTATTTTTGTCAATTATTTATAAAAATAATAAATTTATATAAATGAATTTTCGTAAATTAATTAATATGGATTTTAAAATCGTGACAGTTTAATTTGTACAATATCATTTTGTACAGTATCATTTTGAAATATATTTACAAAATATATTCTTTTCTTTTTATTAAAAAATTTAATAATCTTAATCATATTTATTTTCAATTTTAAATGTTCAAAATGTAACAACTGCACATATCAAATTTATATATTGTATAAATTGTAATTTTTGTACATCTTATTTTTTATGTAATATTTTAAGATTTTATGCCATTTATAAATGTAAAATGTTATTTTCAAAAATATTTAATCTACTCAAGTATTTTGTTCTATAATGAATATGTTCTATAATTTTAATATGTAAATAAATTTACGGCACTTAAGCAGTCTTTAAGAATAATTAGCATTATGACTTTTCATTCTTAATTTTATGATGGAATAAAATATATATATATATATATGTAGTAATATTACATGATTTTTAAAAGAAATTGCTATAAATTAAAAATTTATTTAATATTAAGTTATTTTTAATGCCTTGTTTAAATAATGTATAAATATTTAGAAATTACTCTAATATCACTATGTAAAAATAGGAATGCACGAATAAGATTATCATGCGGAATTTTTTTATAAAGTTAAATTCATTGTTAATAGTAAATTATAACCAGATAATTTTTGTTAAAAACTTATAAGAATAACATGTAAAAAAATAATTTTTATAAATTGGAATGAAATTTAACAGTCTATGAAATGTTAATAATTACTATTGTTATAATTATATTATATAATATAATAATCAATTAATTTGTTATATACATTTTGAATAAGCAATATTAAGATTAATTGATTCTTTTATGTCAAAAATGATGTAAAAGTTTGTAAAAGATTTAAAAATTTTATATATATATATCAACTAAAAAATTTCAATTTTTTCATTTTCACATACTTCATCATCATAAATATCGCACAATACAAAAATAATTATATAAAAATATCAAATTTTTCAATTCTCATTGAAATTTGATCGTTTTTAAAATATGTTTTTAATATTTCATCCATTTTCATTTAATAAATAGAAATCAGAGATAAGAATAAGATTTTTTTTAAATACGAAGATTTAATATTCGTTTAAAAAATTGATCGAGCAAAACTCGATTATTAAAATTCCATTTGAATTTGTATCCCATATAATTCAATGGAAATATATATCATTCAAATTCTCTTCACACGCATATATATTAAATCGCATGCAACGAATATAAATGATTATTCGATACGCGAAGAATTCTGGCTGTTAAAGTATTACACACTCGCAGCACTGCTGCGTAAAATATATACAATCTACAACGCAAGAATCATTTTCAGACTGGGCGATTGGTTTGGTTGCCTCCGAGTCGAATCCATTCCTTTCAATTTTCGGTTGTGGCTCGGGAACCGGCAGTACTGCCTGCGCGATTGGTACTGCATTCTCAATCGTTTCGGCATCAGAATTCAATAATTTATTCATTACCGGAATAGTAGGTGTGGTTGGTGTGATTTTACCAGAACGAGCTTCGTCTGGTATATCATAGTCTACCAAAGCTACAGAAGTCTGGAGTGGTGGAGGTGAATCACTGGACATGATGACACTAAAACAAAATTTCTTTTAAATCTTTTTTTTGTTTCTTTTTTAACAAATATTTTATTTTTCATTTACATAAAAAAATATTCAATATAAATTTTTTAAATAAAATTAAAATTGATTTGCATATTTTTATTTCAATCAATATTTGTATTTATTTTTCATAATAAAAACATGATTAATAAAAACTGAGAGCATGGCATGAAATATATATTGAATAATGATTTATATTTATTTCACTAGTTACAATCATATATTCTTTAGATATATGCAGAACTTTTTCATGAAAAGCTCTACAAGAAAATTTAAAAAAACATATTAAATTTTTCTGAAAATTAAATTCAGAATTATATATTACTCTGTTAATCTGATCAACTGGTGCTTTGTTATTCAGGCTTGTCACATAGTTGACCCTAGTTTCCTTACTATTCAACTCAAATTACTTTTATTTGTGCTTATCGCAATGCATCTTTAAAAAATTCATCATTTAATTCGAAGTATGATGAATATTTATATTTTTTTGACTAAGTTTGACTAAGTTGTTCTAATTATTTTATATCTTTTTATTTGTCGTAATATAACTATTTATAAAAGAAATAGCAATCAAAATCGTAATTTTATAGTATTATTCAAATACTCATATAAAGATTTAGTGTTTGATACAAGAAAAATATGAATTACACTTAAGACATTCTTTCATTAAACATTATAAAGGGTTTCTGTCTTTTTCTCTTCCTCTTCCTCTTAAGTACTTGGTAGAAAGTGTAAAGAAGAAGACATACCACCTAGCTCTCATACATGGTTGCATTCTACTCTTTTCTTCTGACGTCAAAGTAGAATAAAAGGATATCTGTTTGGCCATTTTGTAGGTATTGCAGATTTCAAGTGATTAGAATCATGCCATCTCATATGAAAATATGCCTCAAGATTCGTATTTCGAATTGTTTATCCTTCTCCATTAATACTGCGAATAGAGTGCCACATCTCCCCTCCTGTTTTATTCCAAGTTCACACATCACTGATCACACATTATATTATCCAATTTTGTATAATTTCGATTAAGTAAAAAAATTTAAGTTTTGTTTTTTTGATAATTAAACATGCAATATTTTAATAACACAATATCAAAAAATATTAATAAAAATAAAAATTAAAAATGTTTTACAATATATTAAAATATATTATAAATTTAAATCAATCATTAATTTTGAAAAATATTGAAAAATTAGTTTACAATTAGTTTATAATCGAATATTTTTAATTTTTTTTTTAATTTTAATAAAAAAAATCATTTTCATAGGTTACATGAATTACATAATTATTATTTCGAGAAAAAACGAGCGACTTCTATTAAATAAATTCTTGCAGTTAATCAAGATTACTAATATGACAACAGTTTCTATTGATTAAATACATGCATTGTCCATTGAAATATATTTGCTTATAATAAAACGAGCTTCAGTTTATGTGTTTATATATAACATTATGCGAATATTATTTAATTAAAGTATAAAATTTAATTTCAATGATTTTATAATCAAAATTGTTAAATTAGTTGATAATTGATACAATAATAAATTTTCGTTTATCAATTAAAATTTCAATAAAGAAAAGAATTATATTTATTCACCAATAAAATAAAATAACTGGTTTATTTTGTGCTCAATAGAATATATATTCGCACTTGATTTACATGAAAAAAGAAATACCCTACACGTCATGAAATAAAAACTCGTCATAATGAATTCATACTAGAAATATTAGAAATAATTTACATTCGAAACGAACATTTTGTTATTATATAAATTATAATTATGATATATTTGTATATTATACATGTATTATATAAAAAATTAATCAATAAAAATCAAAATCATCGTATCAAATTTTAGTTCTACTTATGATAGTTCAATAACATCGATAGTTATTTCGATATTCGAATCACCATTGTTCAATTACTAGAACAAGAATTCTTTATAAATATAATTTTTGTTATTATATAAACATATCAATTCAATTATAATATTTGATTTTAATTATAGTTAAATTAATTAATATATTAATGATAATATTTATAAAAAAAATCAAAAGTAAAATAAATAAATAAATAGAAAATAAATAAATAAAAACAATTTCATTAAAATCAATTAACAAAACTGGATTATTTCTAAAAAATTCTAGTATAAACAAATTGTTCGTCTTATCTTTACAAAAAATTTAGCAATTTATATCACTTCACATTTTAAAATTTATTTATACATTTATTCACAATCACGAAAGAATGGAATAATTAACAATTGTATGTACTATTGCTATAGTTTATATTATAAATATTTTTATAAATAAATTTCACTATAAATAATATTTTTTTAAATGTTAATTTTTTATATTAAAATACTTGGTATACCGCGAAACATGAGCAGTTCGTGCCTCGATCTACGTTGAACTGCTCGATCTAACTCTTAATATATGTTCCCATCCCGCGTGTATACTTTTCACGTGGATACAGGAGCGTATCTTCCTATGAAAATCACCCTCCTTTTAAAAAAAAAAGATAAGAATAATTTATTTTTATAAATTCAAAAGAAATTATTAAATGATTAAATATTAAAAAAACTAAATATTAAAAAATATTTACAATAAAAAAAATAATTACTATTTAATGACAATTTATAAAACATATAAATGAACGAATTAAATTTACATAAAAATATTTAAATATATTTATATTATTTTTTTTTTAATTAATTTTTTTAATAGAATAAAAGAAACAAATATTTTATATATATATTTACTTAATAATTTTAAAATAGTTTTAAAATAGTATGTCTATACACTCATATATTATAATAATATCTATAAGGTAAAAGGATCTTATTCGAGACAACTTAAAAAAAATGTTCGACGAATGAAAGTTTCATAAAACCACAAGCGGGATTAGTATCACTTTTCAGAAAATTATATAAGCAAAAAATTTATTATTATTAGAACTATGAATATGAAAAATAAACTATAAATTTTATGAAATTATTTAGATCAGATCTCTGATACATCTCTGATAGATTTTTGATATTCAATATATTTCAATATATTTCAATAGTTATACTATTGAAAATAGTTTTTTTAATAATATGTTTACATAAAAGCCACGTAGTACTTCTTTAAAGAAAAATTACTTCCACAAATTAAAACACATTACATTTTATTTAGTATCATTATATATATCTCACAGAAAATATATAATTAAATATTTCGTTTCATTCCCTCACATTTTTATAATTATATATTAACACTTATCTATTAATTGCTATTATGAAAGATTCACTTATTAAATTAAAATCTTTCGTTTATTTATAATCACATGTTTAAAACTTCGATCTTCAATTAAAATTAAAAAATATTTCGTATGAATTTTTATAATAAAAAGTGAACAAATTCTTAATATTTTAATTAAATTCAATCGAATGAAGAAATGAGAAGAATCAAAATTAATCGAGAGAGAAGGGTGAGAAAAGAATGCTTAACCTCGAAATCTACCAAATCGGCTTGTTGAACTTACTCATAGGATCCACGCTGTAGCAATAGATTTTTAAAACGCATAACTTTGTGATTATTAAGATAATTATTGAAACAAACTATTTCGATTGCGCTTGTTTATGTTCACAAATAACCGTACAAAGGATCAAAATTATATAGTATCTCAATTTCAACGAGCGACGAGCATGCAGATACACGAAAGACTGGCAAGAGACAAGCAAAGCAGCATACACAGCAAGCGGGGAGCAGGTGAGGTAGAGACAAAACTTGCCGGGTGAACAACAATCACTTAATAAATTAAATATTAACAATTTATATAATAATTCCTCAATTCGAAATTAAATTTAAATTATACGAAAATTTAATATTATTATTAATAAATATCTTTACATATAAAATTTTTACAAATATAATAGTTTTATAATATTTGACTATCGACAATTATGAAAAATGTGTATTAATTTTATTTAATTATTTTATTAATATTATTAAGAAACAATTATTGGTATTATTAAATCAATCATAAAACATATGTGATTTATATAATTATTATATAACAGAAATATAATAGTATTATTAAACTTTTATTTAACTTAAAATTTTGAATGCATATACAATATAAAACATAACAAGACACGCATGCGTCACAAAACAGATTCTAATCTTTCGTAAATATATTTTGTTATATTTTAAAAAAATTTTTTATTTTATTTTTATCAAATCTATATTATTTATTCTATATCATATATTATATTATTATGTAATATTATTATATAATATTATATATAATATATATATAATATATTTTATATATAATAAATATATATATAAATATATATATTTATATATAATAAATATAATAAATATAAAATAAATATAAAATAAATATAAAATAAATATAATATAAATATATAATATATAAAATTTTTTTAAAAATATTTTTAAAAATATATACTAATATAATTTAATGATTGAAAATTTAATTTATTTTGATTTATTTATTAATATTACTTAAAATATAAGGGATATAAATTGATCCAAACTAATGCACCCTTCTTTTTTTGTTACGATATTCCTATTATTCAATATATTAAGAACCGGATGTATTTTTACTGGCAATGATTTCTTTTTCAACGATTATGAAGTTCCTTATTAATATTGGATAAACTTATTAGAAAAAATTTAAAAATAATTATTTAATATAAAAATATAATAAATTAAAACAATTTAATTTAATAAACATAATGTTTAAAATAAAACTAATTTTAAAAATAAGTTTATTTTAAAAAATAATATATATTACATAAATTTGATCATTTCTTTACAAATTTAATTCTGCATATAATATTATTAATTTTTTTAATCTAGATTTTTATTGAAACACGTTTTCTTTTTGACTTATTCTATCATTATTTAATATACATATAAGCGAACCATATAAAACCAATTTTAAAGCGAGATGGAACAGAACAATACAGAATGGATACAGAATAAAACTTTTCAAATCAATGGCTTTTAAAAAAATCATAAATAAATTGAATTATAATAATTTCTTTTTTTATTTTTACAAGATATATGTAAATAAATAAATAATATAATTTATTAAAAAACTTTCAAGACTGAATGTATAATTTAATTTTTTATTTTCATTAAAAATAGATTATAAATTCTTATATTTAAAATACCATTTTCAAATATGCATTTGGATATTACATATTAACACATTTATTTCGTTTACCTTCAAAGATGATAGATTAAATTACTTCTTCACCTTCACAGAAGTCACTTGATACCACAAAGCATCAGTCATGACATTAAAAAATAAGAATAAATAAGAACAGAATATCAAACACTATATTCATATAAATATTTGCATATTTATTATCAATATTACGACATAAATAAAAAGATAAATGATATTTTTAAATGATAAATGATGAAAAAACATCTTAATTTTTTCATATTTTTTGATTCTTAACAGTGTGCTGTTAAAATACACAAAGCAACATAGAAAACAAATAAAAAATTTATATTATTTTTTTAAATATAATTTTTAATACAATTTTTAAAATATGTAGATTTACCTTTCAGATGTACAAGGAATTTCTTCCGCATAAACATCAGCACGTGTGATTATCGTTCCGTTTCTCATCGTACCGTGGTTGTCGCATAACAAAAAAGGAAGTAGTGTTGATCCTGAAATTTAATTGTCGTTGACGCTTCGATTATTTCTGATCACATTTCGCGTGAAGTCATCTTCTTACTTTGTCTTATTAGATCATGCATATTGTTTGGCGCTATATGTTCAAGGTTTTTCTCATGCAATCCTTATTATTTTTTTATTTTACGATTTTTTAATTATCATGTCATTTTTAAAAATCTTTTCACTTCAATTAATCTTTCATATTTTATATTAATCTCAAAATATTGTTATAAATGTCATATTATTTTATTAAGTATTAAGTATTAAGTATAACGATATTAAAGATTTTTTTTATATAGAATAAGCATATATAGATATATGTAATATATTATTTTATCACATAAATCATTTTAAAGCAAAAACTTTTTAACATTTTAAAAAAGAAAAATAAAAGAATTTTATTATTGTGAAGATTACAATTAAAATGTATTTTGCTTGCACTGTAAATATTAATACACTATAATAATGCACGATAACTTAACCTCTCCTATCACTTCAGTGGCTCAAGAGCGACTAATAGTAATAAATATTCTGCTCTGCTGTGGAAATATGAACTACCGCCATCGGTAGAGACGAATAAAAGTAAAATGAATTTAAATATTCTTAAGAAACATTTTAATATTAATAAATAAAGAGATATTAATAAACAATATGTTTTTTTTACTTTAAGAAACAAATTTAATATTAAAAATAAAAAATTAAATTTATTAGAAATTTGAAATTAAATATTAAAAATTATAATAAAAAGAAGAAAATTACATTATTATTACATTATTATAATTTAACATATAAATTTTAATATTGAAAATTTATTAATTTTCCAAATTAATAAAATAATAACTTAAAATTTTAAATAAGTAATGTAATAGTTGTATTTATATTGTATTAATTTTAAATATTAAAAGACTAATAATTACAATTTAATGATAAGTTTTTCATTATTTAATATTGTTTACAAAATTACAAAAATTATTATTAAAATAGATATTAATTGCGCATGCGTGGAAAATTTTATAATGGTATCATTCTTTCTTATAATTGCGTCGTTTGTGGCATAGAAAACGCTTTCATTTACGGCTTTTGATTGGAGTTAAATTTTACAACTTACTATTTTTTTATGTTTGAGTAATTATTATTAATAGTAGAGCGTCATTAAAAGAAGGGAGAAAGTAAGAAAAAATTGAATATGGGTCGCTATAGAAGGTAAGCCATATATGTATAGATATGTGAAAATGCATGTTATCAATATGTTCAATGTTCAGCACTAATATCACATATTTGAAGTGAATATATTTGAATAGCAACTGTTCATGCAGTACAGTAGAAAAAATTATATGTAAAATGAGAAATAAGACTATAAAACTAAGAAGAGATTCTAAAGCATTTATATTTTTACAGCCATTATAACCTTCCGCATGTTTTTGATATAGACTTCAAAAAAATTTATATATATATACATATTACAAAATTTAAAATAATTTGAATTTTTAAAATTAATGATAAAATAAAAATATTTTAAATAAATTAATTAAGTAAAATTGCTATAGATTTAATATATTTTAAAAAAGTATAAATATTTTAAAAAATATATATTATGTTAGAAATAGTTAATAAAAATATTTGTATTTTTATTTTTATAAATCAACATGAATTTTTTATTTAAAAAATAACTTATATTTTAAATTTATATTTAAATATTAATAAATATTTTGTATTTTATTTTTTAGTCGTAGTCGTGATAGAGATAGGAGACGTAGATCTCGTAGTAGATCTCGTAGTAGATCACCAAGAGATAGAAGAAATTGGGGTAGCAGTGGAGGCAGAGATCGAGGTGGTAGAAATAGCCGTGGGCAACCTGGAGCAAATTTAAGAAAACCTAGATGGGATTTAAGTCGATTAGAACCTTTTAAAAAAGATTTTTATGTACCACATGAAGCAGTTCAAAACCGTGATCCACGCATAGTTGAACAATACAGAAGTGAAAAAGAAATTACCCTTAAGGGAAAAAATATACCTAATCCTGTATTTACATTTGAAGAAACAGGTTTTCCAGACTATGTTCTGAAAGAAATTAAGTAAGTTCTTTTAAGATAATAAATTTGTTTAAAATTAAAATGTTCCAAATGAATTAGTATTTACAATGTACAATTATTTTACAATAGTGATATTAGAATTTGTTTCTTAAGTTTAGAACAAGTATCCAGTATGCGATGACATATACATTGTCAAGAATACTATCACACAGAACTTAAAACTTGTTTATTCTGGAACTTTTAACTTTCATCAGATCAAGTAAGAACAGAAGTAGAGTTGTTAGGATTTTAAGATAAAAACAGAATAGCAAAACATTAAAATTGATAAAAAAATGATTAAAATAAATATTGAAAAATTTGACTTAAACATTAATGCAAAATGAGATCAATTTGATTTAATGGATTATAAAAGAATTGTTGTTATTTATAATTTTCAGACGACAAGGTTTTACAGAACCTACATCAATACAAGCACAGGGTTGGCCAATTGCTTTAAGTGGAAGAGATATGGTAGGAATTGCATCAACTGGTTCTGGAAAAACACTGTCTTATATACTTCCTGCAATTGTTCACATTAATAGTCAACCTAAATTAGGTCGAAAAGATGGACCTATTGCTTTAGTTTTAGCTCCAACACGAGAGCTTGCACAACAAATTCAACAAGTTGCTGATGATTTTGGTCATTCCTCTGGCATTAGAAATACATGTTTATATGGTGGAGCACCAAAAGGTGCACAAGCTAGAGATTTAGATGGTGGTGTAGAGATTGTTATAGCTACACCTGGTAGACTGTTAGATTTTCTTGAATCAGGACGTACAAATTTAAAAAGATGTACCTATTTAGTATTAGATGAAGCAGATAGAATGTTAGACATGGGATTTGAGCCTCAAATTAGAAAAATCATAGAACAAATTAGACCAGATAGACAGACATTAATGTGGTCTGCTACATGGCCTAAAGAAGTAAAAAATTTAGCTGAAGATTTTCTAAAAGATTATGCTCAAATCAATGTTGGATCTCTACAATTAGCTGCAAATCATAATATATTACAAATCATTGATGTATGTCAAGATTATGAAAAAGAAAATAAGTAAGAGATTAAGTATATATTTAAAAAACTATTTATTTATCAAAAAAATATTATATATTTTTTATTTCTAATATTATTTTTATAGATTGAGTACTCTTTTAAAAGAAATAATGGCAGAAAGTGAAAATAAAACTATTGTATTTATTGAAACAAAGCGCAGAGTAGATGAAATCACAAGAAAAATGAAGAGGGATGGGTGGCCAGCTGTTTGTATACATGGTGATAAGACACAACAAGAAAGAGATTGGGTTTTACAAGGTAAATATTAATTTTATATCACATTTCAATTTATATTACAATCAAAACTGAGTTTTCTTTTCAATTTTTAGATTTTAGATCGGGAAAAGCGCCAATTCTTGTCGCAACAGATGTTGCTGCTCGTGGACTTGGTAAGTAAATGATTGTTATGATAATGTAATAAAATAGAAATAAGAGTATTATTCATCATTTTCCTTTGGTATGGAAAATGAACTGTTTTAAATCATATTTCTAGCAGTGAGTTTAATAATTACTATAATATTCTGAATATCTTGTTCTGATAATATTAAAAACATAAATAAATATATATATTCAAAATATAATATACTTGCTAATTATTAGTATATATCTTTTAAATAGATTTTCTTTTGTTATTGCAATTTGTTTCCTAGTTTATATTATATTATATAGTATAGTTTTATATTAAGACATAAGTGATTCTTATGTATGTAATAATCAGAACAAGATTTCATTAATGAACTACTTTATGATTAGAATCAAAATAAAAGAGATTTATCAATTTCTTAATTAGAAACAGTAATCAGTATTAATAAATTATATAAATATAAATAAATATTTAAATGATATTTTTCGAGTTCAGTGATTTGGAAATATTAATAAGAAAATATTTTATAAAAACTTTACAAATTAAATTTAAATACATAATATTCTAAATGCATAATGTGGTTCATTTAGCATTTTTAATATGTGTAGTTATTTTGCTTCCTCATTTTTTGCTAAAGGTAATAATTTTTGAATATTATATGAAAGAAATAAAAAAAGAAAGAAATATATTACTCGGCAAGCATTTTTTATTGATTTATGAAGGTGAATAAAAACAATTTACCTAATTAAAAAAAAAGCAAATCAATTTTAATTACAAACAAACATTTATAAAATTTATATTGAAAATATATAAAATATATATAAGATATAATTTTCTTAAAGAATTACATAATTTTGTGGGATAATGAAAGGCACCATTTTATATTATTGTATCTACATCATGATTATAATTTGAACTTAAAATTAATCTAATAAAAATGTTTTATGCTTGCCAAAACTTATATAATGATTATAGAAGTTTAAATTATATTTTTTCCCATAAACTCGCTTTCATTGAGATTACCAGAATTTTGTAGAAGATAGTTGATAAAAGAATAAAACAATATGAAAAAAAAAAACAAAAAAAAAAATACTGTAATACAAAATTCATATTGAACACAGGAAGATAATGAGATAAACATATACCTAACGCGGTTGGATCTTTGTTTGTATTGCAGAGGCACATTGCGCGCAGACCCACGCCGGGTAATGCAAAGCAAATTGGGGGTGCCCGCCGCCTGTTTGTTCGGTGGTGCACTAGTTTGCATTGTCTGCGCTGGCTGCGACGCGTGCCTCTATACGTCAATTACGTGAAGGGCCAGTCCGGGCCAAATCGGGATCTACTTTACCTTCTACATACTGGATATCAGTTCTACGCTACGCTGTACGCCATCTGGGCTGGCCAAGTCGTTGTTGCCAGAATAGAATCCCCTGCGCTGGCCGCTCAAGCTAATCAGACCCAACAACGGTCCAATGAGGCGGTGGCATGGTAGCTGATGCCAGAGCCTCTAAGTGTGCCCTGTAGCAACAGAATGGCGGAGGCTGTAGCTGGAGCGAGCGCAAACAGCCAGGCCCTGCCCGTACGTTGCTAGCGACACTCACCCACTGCCTAATTTTAGTATAACAGTAATTTTAAATTAATCGCTATATATATATATATATATATATAACTGTATATATCAATAATTACAGTTTCTATATATAATAATTCAGTCAATAATTATAATTTCACCCAGAAAAAGGGCAATTTGACTGTATAGCATTCTTCTTTGATAAAGACTAAGATAGTTTTTGATTAAAGAAATTTCGTTCGATAGTGAAATATTGTACAATTATTAATTTAGAAGATGTAATTAAATATTGATCATAATTATAAAATTATAATGATCATAAATCAAAAATTAATTATATTTATTATATTTGATTTATTTATATTTAAAAGTTTCTCACAAAAATTTCAGTTAAAGTTAAATATCTTCTTTATTAAGAATTGGTCAACATTTCATTTGATCAAAAATGTCTTAGATTTTTATAAAGATGTAGTATAGTTCAAATAGCATTTTTCTAAGGGTTTCAATATGTATACTTTTTTGCATATATATATATATAACAAAATGTTTTGTAAGATGTGATATACTAAAACATATGAGAAATTCTTGAATTAAAACAAGTTATTCTTTATATTTTTTGTGATCATTATTTATCAGCTTTGTAAAATATAATAATATTCTCAAAAATAATTTTATATTTCAAATTATCTTTTATATATATATTATATATAAATTTAAAAGTTGTTAATTAATGGTCACATAATATTATTAAGAACTCTCTTATTCTTAATTTAAGAATTTTTAATATTTTATATAGTGCATATTTTATAAAACATTCTGTACTTGTATATATGCATATATGTACATTTCTATATACATACACATTCTTCTATATACATATCCATTTAAATTTACATTTCCTTTATCCTTATGAATCCTTTATTAATAACTGTCATTACATATTCACATTATATTAACTATCATATTCAATAAAGTTTTTTGTATATCAATTCTGGTTTCATTTTGATATTTTGATATTTTGATATCATTTTGATTTTTTTTTTAAGGATATAAATGCATAATATTTATTGTGATAAAAATCAATAAATAATTTCATATATATTTAAATAATGTATATATAAAGTAATTAAAATTTTAATAATTTTTCTAAAAAATATATAAAATACTTAAAACAAAAATACTATAAAATATATAAAATATTAAAAAAAAAATTAAAAATAAAAATATACAGAAAAAGAAATAATATTTTTATTAATGAGGAACCAGAATTGTTTTTGAACAGAAATTTATTTCAGCATTTTATACTTTCAAAACGCTCTCTAAAAACATAATATTTTTTTTTGTTACTTTAGTTTTTATTTTATTTTATTATTTAAATAAAATTAGAAATAGATAATTTATTCTTAAAAGAATATAATAAATAAAATATTTTGTAAAATTTAGGTTCGATGTAGATAAGCTATACAATGTAGTTAGTTGCAATTTCTCAGTACTAATGCTGTATATTCGGCACATTTATTTGTATTTTCAATATTGCACATTCGTATTATGTTATTAGAAATATAAAATGTCGAATCAGACAGCATTACTACAGTGAAATCGCAATAATATCATATTGCTCGTCTATATCAGCTCTTAATGTGTTTTTTTCTTTTTTTAATTTTATTTTTTAAAACATATATAATCAATGAATTTATAATTATCTTTGGAGAGCGTACTTTAATCTAAAAATTTGTTCAAAATAAATGATTGATATTTAATACAATATTTTATTCGTCTTGCCATAATACTTAACCGATGTCTGTCTGGGAGGCGGATGCTTTTAGTGATCAGTATCTAATACGTATGCTTTATTTCAGACGTTGAAGACGTCAAGTTTGTCATCAATTTTGACTATCCTTCCTGTTCGGAAGATTACGTTCATCGAATCGGTCGAACAGGACGTCGGCAAAAAACTGGTACAGCCTATACCTTTTTTACACCTAATAATTCGAATAAGGCTAACGACCTAATCCAGGTATTAAAAGAAGCGAATCAAGTTATAAATCCAAAGCTATTAGAACTTGCCGATAGTAAAAGTGGTGGATATGGCAGGCATAGAGGTATTTCTATATTTTAACTTGATAAAATAATTTTTTTTTTTAACTTTTATCTCATATTATTGTAATTTGCATTTATTGATATAATTAATTGATTTAATATTTTTAGGTGGAAGAAATAGATGGCGATCTCGAGGTGGTCGAAATGGAAAAGATCGTAGCTATTCAAGAAGTAGAAGTCGAAGTCATAGTAGAGAATACAATGGTCGTGGTAATCGTCGAAGTTATAGTCGGAGCTATTCCCGGAGTCGTAGTCCTGTTAGTAATCGTGCAGGTAAGTAATAATAAATTTATATTATATTATTTACATCTTCATGATTCCACTGAAACAGATTTGCAAATTTTGTATTGTGTAAAAAGATTTGTATGTTTACAGAAGTAATCGGTAAAAGCTATTGGAGCAGCGAAAGATGATCTTCCATGAGCAGTTAATGACCAATTGCATATAATTAATGTTTTTTTTTACGTCTCTTTTAAAATACACACTTAATACACGTCATATAAATTGTAATATTGATATTCCACTAATGTAAACATGTCATATGACGTGTTACGTATAATCTTTGTGCATTACAGATAGATTATATTAGAAATATAAGATAAGTGTTTCTAATGAGCGAGTATACTTCCTTAAAATATAATAGAATGATATGATCAACTGATAACACGTATTAGAATATATTGATTTTAAATAAAATGAAAAATTATTTAACCAAATTATCGAAATCAAAAACTCTGAATAAAATCAAGAATATAATTTGATATTGTATGAATATTTATATATATATATATTTCTGTATCCATAGATTTTTTTTTTTAATTCACATTTTAATTATATAAGATAAATCTATATAAGAATTTGGAATTATTATATTCACATATAGTATAATATATACGTTTTATAAATAGCCGTTGCATATTTGATAATACAAAATAAGGAGCATGTAAACGGCAATGTGACTTTAATTGATGAATGACAACAAATTACTTAAAAAGTCTAGATTAAAAAAAAAATATCGTATTTACTGATGAATAATTATAGGTAGACACATAGTGCTTATTAGCAATTAATTCATATATGTACTTGAGCATTTAAATTCGAAAAAATAATGTACAGTATTTAACAAAAATGTAATAAATAAATTTATTAATTAATTTAAAAAATTATTTACTAATTATCTCCAGTCTTCTCTGATCTTTTTTCTATATTTATTATATATTTTTATTTCTTATTTTTTCAGACAAAAAGATACAAAAATCACATAAAATATCATACTAATTTGAATTTTCAAATTCTATTCCTATTTTATATATAAATTTATAAATCTTAAATGTTCTTTCTACTCGATTAATGTTAATAAATGTTTATTAAAGAATCTCTTCATCATCTCAACAGTGAAATGATTGGATTTTAAATGAGAAGTTTGTCTATAAGACCATTAGGAAAAAATGTTCACATTTTTTTTTTATTAAATAAATTTATAAAAAAAAAATCACTTTCACCATTTAGATAATAGAATAAAACTGCACAATATTAAAATGAAAGTTATTTATCATTATCACAAAAATAATATATAACACATTATTTTAAAAAAACTTCATACACATATATCTTCATATAATTATTAATATTTACGAACTTTATAAATATCAAATTGATGTACGAAGATGTCAAATTTATTCAATAATTTTTTAAATAAATAATTGAGAAAAAAATCAGACCGCAATCTTGAGTGAAAAGCAACAAAGATTTATGAATGAACTGTAATACAGGTGGATGGGTCGATAGAGCAGCCCCCCGCAAAATCGCACTAGGCAAGGGCGTAGTAATCGATAGAGTGAGGGTGAAAAAGGATAGAAGCCGGCTCGAAGCAGACGAAGAACAGCGGAGGCCGTGGAGGGCAGAGTCCATTCAGTAGAAGCAGCAAGGCTGCTATTGATTGCGTGGGTGGTTAGAGGAGAGATGAGTTACCCCCACTTTCAGCCATTCAGCAGCCGCACTGCTGTGACACGGGGTTAGCGGAGGAGAAGGGGCCTTGAAAGATGGGGAGAGGTAAAACGAAGAAGGGTAGTCCGATTACTGGAATGTCGTGGGTGGCTAACAAGAGAGGGGGTTCCAACCCTGTCTTCGATTATACGCACGAATGCAGGCGCACAACCACTTTGCCCTAAAATTGACATTTAGCCCCATGCTTTTTGAAAAGTTCACACTTTATGTATTTTACGTAAATTTCGTAAATTACGTAAATTTTTATGCTCGAAATTCGATTATTAATTCGATTACTATTCTGAACGAGTAAGGAATTACATTGAGAAAAATATAAGAAATATTTGCAAAGTTTAAAATTAGCTGTTTTGAAATATTTTTAAAAGTTTAAAGTTTAATATTCTCATAAAATTATATAAAGTTTATTAATTTAAACGTTTGATACTTATATCGACGAAAATTGTCAACAGAAGAGGCATTTTTTATGTTGATTATTCCATCCAGATAAGATCTATCTGTTTTGAGACAATAATAATTCTTTATCAAAATACGAAAAAATGAACGATGTTGATAGCGAAATATCCTCCAGTTTCTTTGTCTTTTATTTCGTGTCTTGACTTTATATTTTGTCTAATTATGAACAATATATTCATAACAATATAATAAATAGCGAAATATTTGTTTCAGTAAATCATATACTTATTCAGTAACTCATCTTACTTATTTGAAGCATCAAGTAGTTTAGACTTATAATAGTCAGCCAAAGATTTCCACGTGAATAATTCATTTTATTAATTAATTTAAAAAAAAATAAACGAATACTTTGAAAGTAACTAAAACATTTTTTATATAAATTTAGATATATTTAAATTAGATAAATTATTTAAGATTTTATTATTAAAATTAAGATATCAATTTATGTATAAATTTATAATACACGTATTTTATTAAAAATTAAGAAAAGAATATTGATATTGATTTATTTTGTCAAATAAAAGATCAAAAAATGTTTGATGATGAATTTTTCAATAAATTGAATAATTCAGTGACGCAATTTCTCATTTAGGTTGAGGATACGGACTACAACGATTTTAAATCCCAGGCAGAAACTTGTTGCGCAGACGAACCGGAACTTATAAGCTTATTCGTAATCTATGACTCTAGCTTTAGAATAGCTCTAATATCTAAAAATTTTTGAATTAAAAACAATTGAATGAATTCTTTTTTAATTGTTTTATTACTTTATCATAATAAAATATCTAGTTAAGATATTTAGTATAGAATATTATAATAATTACATATGTTAAGAAATTTCAATGCATTAATAAAATTGAAAGAATATAGTTTAATGTAATGAAATTATTTTATTTTTATATCGAACAATAAATTCATATTATTCAATAGATAATTAATAAAGTCATTTGTATAGTATATAAGTAAAATAATTAAAAAGGGATGAAAAAGAAAAAAAATAAAAATAAAAAATCTATTATACAAAAATAATTTCCAAAAGATCAAAAATAATCAAAAATATATTATCTTCATATAATATAATAATATAATTATATAATAATTTTAAATTATCAATTTTATTATATCCATTAGACAAAATATCGAGAGAATAATTTCCAAAAATTATCATTTGTATACACACAAAAAAGAATGCTAAAGAAAAAATAAAAAAATAAAGAGTTATTAAAAAAATTTTTAGAAACGAAATTTTTTGAAACAGCTTACGAATTGACGAAAAGTTTCTTTTGGAATATGAAGAAAAAAGTAGAGAGAAGGAAAAAAGAAAAGAGAGAGGGGGCTAAACAGAGCTCGCGTAGAGGGGCTTGAAACGAATGAAGGGGTGTGTACTGGAAGAGGGGGCAGCAAAGGAAGGCGAATAGTTGCCTCGATGATACCACCTCTCTCAGTTGCTTCTCGGTTTCCGGACTGCGTGGACTGGCAGGTTAGTGAATCCAACTCTCGTTCATTCACCAGTTTCTCTTCGTTCCACTCTTGACCTCCTTCCATCCTTGGCACCCTCTCTGTTTCTCTCTCTCTTTCTCTCACCCTCATTCTCCACTCCGTGTGTCCGCTGACTCCATTCATGCGACTCGTTCTTTGCTCGCTCTCTCGTTCGCTGCTCCCTTTGATTTATCGAAATTCCTAGTGAAAAATGTTCTTCATAATTTCGTTACTTGATTATTGATATCCTGTCAACGTTAACGATCAGTATTACGTATGTATTTCATTCTTTTCTTAATTTTTTATTTAATTTTATTACAAATTAAAAACGATATTTTAATCTTTGTCAAGTGTTAATAATTAGAAAAAGATTTGTTACCTAAACGATTTTTATATATTCTCTTTTTCTTTTTAAATTATTGCAAATTTTTTCCTTTTTAATTTATTCTACGTTTCATGGAATAAAAAATTATCTGGGATGAAAAATAAATTTTCATGTTATTATTGATTTTGGAATTCAAAAAAGAAAGCAATCTTTTACATTTCAATTAGTCATATTTGATATGTATGTATTAAGGGAGAAATTGATGAAAAGAGAGTAATGATAGATTCGAGAAACAGCTGTTAGAGATGATAACGAAAAGCAGTTCAGTAATTATTTCTTTAAAAACATAATCAGTAATTCTTCCTTTATGTAGATATTATATATTTAATATTTTTAATACAAATTGTATTTACTTTTACATACATATTTTTTAAGAATTAAAAATATGTATAACCAAGAAAATTAAGTAAAATGTTATTATCTTTTTTCGTAGTTTGTTTAAATTTTTACGTTTCATTATTAAATATATTGTCAATAAATATCACTTGAATCATTCAATTGTTTTTTATAATTTTAATTTATAATAATATCTGTAATAAAAAATATATTAATATGTATTTATATTGAAAAAAAATTTATAAAGAATTAATAAAATTGTTAAAATTAATTAAAAATTATCTAAGTACTTTTTTAAATATTTTAAATTCTTGCAAATCGATTCTGAGAAATAAATTAAGCAAATAACAATTTAATATTTAATAAAAAATATATTTTTACTCATTGAAATATATATTTTATTAACGACATCAATACAACAATACGATCAAAAAATACGATCAAAATCAAGAAATAAAAAATTATTTTGAATCAGAATAATACTGTTTAATTGAATATCCCATTATATATTGAACTAGAAATAATCAAAGATATAGATGTAAGATTATATTGAAGAAAAGGAAAATATCTCACAATCTGACGACATAAAGAAATCAATTTATATTTAATTATGTCGATTATTATCGAGCAAAGTCAATTAAAATTCATACTTTTTAAAGATCTTAAATGTAAAAAGAATAATTAAATAATAATATTAAATAATTGATGCAAAAAAATAGAATTAAGCACGATATTAATTTATAAGTATGAAAATAAAAATTAGAAAAAAGAAATTTGATAACATTGTATCAAATAAATCTTTTTTTAGACGAGTTTCCTATTAGATTTTTAAAGTATATATTATTTATGAGAGTAATTTTATTTATATTGAACTTGATATTGAATTTTCTCAAATATCATTAATCGTAATTGAATTGATTGCTAAAATTGATTTAGTTGCCATTAGTAAGTTAATTATAAAACTTTCTTAGATTAATAGACAATAGACATTCAATTACAAATTCCTTTTTACGAAATTAAGTTTTATGAAACGTAAAATTTAATTATTTCCAATATTTTAATTTCAATTAAGGACTCTTTCATTAATTCATTAATCGAGAAAACTTCTGGAATTAATCTTTATCTCTTTGAATTTCATTAATACAATTACTGAAAATATATATAATACTTCACAATTCGACTTAAAAGAAAGAACATCCCTTTCGAAAAATAATTCTCTGAAAAATTCATAAAAAATGTTCAAATATTTAATATGTATTAAATTTTTGCAAGTATTTAGAAATATTGTAAAAAAAATATTTTAAAAGTTCAATTTTAATATCGTTTTTCTTCTATCTAAATCTTAAAAGAGTTATTTAAATTATAATTTCGTTACTCGTTAATTTCATAATCTTAAATATATCAATATTTTTTTGTAACAATGAACGCAAATTCATACAATGAAATATTGTAATAGCCATATCATTATCCTCGATACATCATTTATTCAATACATCTACAATCTATTTATAATCTTTATAAAAATTTCGACGTTATCTAGTAATGATAAAATTTTCTATAATAAATAATTAATCTACAATTTTTTTTTTTTCATCTTTCATCTTGAATTTTGAATATGAATTTGTATATTTTATTTTCTAGAAAATGCGTACTGTGGCCGTATGGACAGCTTTTGTGTTAGCATACTCAAGCACCCCGTTCGTGACCGGTATACGATACATTGATCCGATCTCGGCACAATCAGGGAACACCGGCGACATTGCCGAGAAGCGCGTTGACCTGACGGAGCCGACATGCGAAGAATTGAGGGCAATGTGGAGGTACACTAAACGACAAAGCAGAGCTGCTAAAACTACTACCGGATACTCTCTTTATCCCGATCCATTTTCATATAACGTGTGGAAATCTTATTCCGAATACTCCAAGCCCAATCTTAATTACCGCGGTAAGATTTTATGGTAGTTGTGCATAGTCCATGCTATTATTATACTGTTTATTTGGAAAAAAGGATAATAGAATTTTGTAAGTAAAAAATTATAGAAAAAAAATTCAGGATATTAAATAAAGAAAATTTGAAATGGTCAAATATTTTTTCATAAACGTATAGTATTCATTAACATATAGTAAGCAATTGTAAATTTAATTAAGATCAAAAAATTTTTTTAATCGAAAAGCTGAATGAAATTTAATATAGATAGTTTTATATAAAAAAGAAATTTGTAAAAATTAAAAATGAAAAAAGTTGAAAAACTATATATTTCTTTTCTTTTATTAGATCATTACATTTTATATAACTTATTTTTTTCTTAAATATTTATTTTTCATTTAAGATTATTCATTTATATTAAGATATATTCGACAATTATATGAAATCGATATCAAGATATGATGATAATCTAGGATAATGCCTGATTTGTTTCATACTTGAACTACTACTGTTCAAAATTAATTAAAGAAACTCATCACCAATTAAAAAAAAAGTATATATCTTTAAAAGAAAATAATAAAAAATTATAAAAGATTTATAATTTTAATCTATTATAAAAGTCGAATTTTTAATAAAAAAGTTTTTAATAAAAAAATCTTGAATTTACAATATATTTTTTATTTTATAAAAAATTATTATATCTGAAATAAAACTATTTTTAATTATCGACAATTAATAGACAATTAATAGATATTAAGATTTACTAATAGATTTTATTTATTCTATTTGATAATGATATGCAGGAAAATTTATGGGAAAACCGCGTAACCGTGCAGGAGGTAGTGCCCCAATTTATGGAAAAATAGTACATAAAGCACCAGCAAGTAGATTAAGAAATGGAATGCGACACTCACCACGATTTTTCAATAAAATCCCGCGCTTTTTCGGAACAATGAATTCTTATCCACCGTTGTCGAAAAGTCGTATTAACCCAATAGTTGGTCCCTCTCATTTATCGCAAGCTGGCAGTTTTCAACATTTGAAGGAATTACTTCGTGCTGAACGGGCCCGTGAATTACAGGTGAATAATAAATTATCAAATAAGTGATATTAACATATTACAAATGAAATAAATTATATTCAACAAATGTTTTTTTTTCTAAAATTTCTTATTTAATTAAATTAAATTCTTAAAAAAAATTAATATTATAATATTTGAAAATAAATTCCTTCATATCTTTTTAATGAATGTTGTAAGAAAGAATTCATCTAGTGATTGAAAACTCTTTTATTATTCAAAAATATAAAAAAAATCTTGATTGATAAGATAGATCGGAAAATTTGTAATATGTTAACTATTCATAAAATTAAAGTAATAAATTTTTATGGATAAAAATGAAAGATAAAACAAATAACTTTTAACTTTTTTTCATTGTTAGATAAACGCTAAAAAATTGAAAGATACTCTTTTTAATTTGGAATTTTCTATGATATTTTTTTCTTTATTTAATTAACAATTTTAGGAACAATATAAAGCTGAAGAACTAGCAGAAAAGACATCTACCTTCAAAGATTCTGTAAACAATGAGTATCCTTTCAATATTCAACAATCTCAGAAACAATATTTAAAATCAACACTGGGAATCCCGACGAAAATTAATTATGAATTTGGTCAAGGACGATATGCATCGAATAATGGTCAAATTTGGACAGTGAGTAACAAATGACAATAAAATCTTTATCGCGTCCTATTTATTAAAATTAATGAAGAAACTTATTTTTAGAATAAAATATTTCTCTAATATTTCTTTTAAATTGATACAATTATTTCAATCACTTTATATATTTTATTATGATTATATCAATTTCTAGATTTTAATAATAATGTTATCTTATAAGATTACAACAATTGAACAAATTTCATTATATTTTTTTCTAATATTATCATTTAATAATATCAATTTTCCATAAATATTATAATAATATTTTAAATAATAAATAAATTCTCATAACAATAATAATCTATTTACAGAGGAATGGACCCCAGCCTCGCGAATATTTATCGCGTTAATATTTCAAAGGACTATCGATGTCTCCCACACAAACAAAGATACCAACATATCGGTTCTCTTGATATGATCGCATACGACAGAACGTAAATGATTCGGATTTGCTTTTTTGGCAATCTTCGACATCTCAAAATTTACGTAAGCAAACTATTTGCGTTTATACTAACAGTAAATATTATCGAAAGGGCTTTTCACTTTCGTTGTTTCTCCTCCGTCGTTCTCGAAAATTGCTCTTAGGGCTTTCGCTGTCTCGAATTTCGGATCTCTATTCCCTGCGATGCCTCAATTTATTCGACATATTATTTATGCCCGGATAAATATAAGTCAATAAATGGAAGGAAAGTCGTAAAGAAGAACGACTTGAGTTGGCAATGCTATAGAATGTATATTTTCTTAATTCATTTAAACTCGCACAGATTAATTAATTACCATGCAAGCCGCCTATATAAAATATTCCAGATATATAAATTTAATATTATATCTCTGAAAATCGCTACAGCGGCGACGTAACTTCATATCACTAAGCGGAGAAAACACGAGCAGAATATTGCTAATTTGTTTTTATTTTTTCAATTATAAAATAAATGTATTAATAATGTTGTTTAATATTGTATTTATATATATATATATAAAATTTTTCATACAAATAGACTTTTAAGTGAGCAAAGCAGAGAATAATATTATAATTTTTATATCTTTATAAATTGTTTTCTTTTTTTTTTAATTTATATAAATATAGATAACGAAAAGATTGTAAAAGTACACTCAATTTTTAATTTAAAAAATGAATAATTATTTATATTTTTTTTACCATATTATTTAAACATTATAATAATCTTAAATATTTTATATAACGATATTATATATTATAATATAATATATTATTTAATATAATATATATTTATATATTTGTTAAAAAATATATAAAATATATTTAATATAAAATTAAAATTAAGTTAGAATTGAAGTAATTCAGAAAAGTTATTTAAAAATCTATTATCTGAATTACATTATTAGTATTAATTTAGTTTTTTTGAAAATAATAATAGACAATAGAATATTAACTTAAAGTGTAGTAAAATCAATTATTACATAATCATTTATCAAGTATTTTTTTCATCAGAAACTTTATTTTTCGGATATGAAATCATTCAATAATTAAAATAATAATATAATTGATATTTTTATTTAATGTAAAGAAATGAAATTAAACAATTGTGTTCTGGTTTTCTCCGCCTTATTTGAACTTGACAATAAAATAGAAAGACTAATATTTTGAAAATTATATAAATATATATATATATATATATATATATACATATATATACATAATACTTATAAGTTAAGAGATAATAAAGCATAACGGAACTGTACCGAAGACAATAATTATTGTTAAGAGATATTCTTGTAATTTGTACGTATAATCGACGCGGCTGCGATTTCAATTTTACATGAGGTGCAGAATATTGTAATATATTAGTAATTAATATTTGTATGTAGAAATAATATTCTTTAAAAAAATGAAAACGCACCGTGAATATATATCTTTCAATATACTTTGTGATGTACATCGATTATACGTACAATCGATTTGACTTTCGACCCTTAAGCATTCTATCGATTATCTGCAAAATTACATTGTATTAAATATTTGTATTACTTTTTAACAAATTTTTATTAAATGAACATATCAAGAATAACAAATTATTGCAGAAAAAAAAATATTTTACATAATCTGAAAAAAAAATCTTAAAAAGTTATCTTTATTATATTAATTTGTTATAAGAAATTTCAAGCCAATAATAAAGACTTAAGGGTTATAATTACATAAAGACAATAAATATAAATATTTCTGGTAATCGTATAATAAAAAATGAAGTAGGTTATGTGGCTTAATTCATATCTTATGCTGAGAATTAATCACTTTCAGCTCCTATGATGATACAAAAACCAAAAAAATTCAGAAATTATATAGAACAGTTTGATACCAATTGTGGTTCTAATATTTGACTATAAATACTTTTTACTTGTATACACCTATTTGAATATACATGCGTATACTGCATATATAACAGAGAATACATATACACACACACATACATGCATATCAAAATACATAAATATATGTAATTATGTTTATTATATTACTATACTATGTTCATCATTTATTAATTCAAATTTCAAAGGATAAATTATTTATCAAATTTATTTTTTAATAGCAAATGCTTAATATCCGAAACTATAAACTGGTTGAAATCTCTCTAGATACAGACTAAAAACTATTTTTATCTTAATTTTATTATTTTAATATAAAAATTATGTTATTTAAATATTTAAGTATTTTAAGTACAACATATAAACATATATGCATATGAAATTATCAAAAAGTGAACATAATATCTTGAATGATGTTAGAAATAGTATATTTATGTAAACTAAATGAATTAATTTAAGATACAAAAGATGTATGGATCAAAGTATCAGATTTTTTCTAATGTAAATTCATAAGAATTATGTACACTAATGATTTATTTTATTTACTCTGAATTTTAATATTTAATTATTATATTTGGTACTTAGATCCTTACATTTTTGAAATTCTAATTAATAAATTAGAGAAAATATGCTTCAAATATCCTGTCCTATAATTCTTTATTTTGCACTATATTTTTGTTATGTTGAAAATATATATTTGTTATGTTGAAAATATAACTATGATAATAAACCATGGCAAATTAAATTCGTAATTTTTTACATTAATTACTTTATCCCAACATAAATTCATACTTAATATAATAAAATAATTTATTTAATCACATATATTATACATTATTTCTTTCTCAAGTTATCTTGTAATTTGTTAATTTATTAGTATTTATTAGTATTTATTTAAAAAATATAATTTATTTATAATAAAATAATTTTGATACAAAAATCGTATTGTAATAATAAACACATTAAACAAAATTTAATATTTATATATAAATACTTACATAAATATATGTAAATGTACAAACATGGAATTTGAATTATATAAAACTAATGAAAAGATTCATCAATGTAAAAATTTAATTTATTTTTTTTCAAAATAATATAGTATAGATTTTAATAGTTTTTATTTTATTTTACTTAATAAATAAAAATAAAATAAATTAACATTTTAAATAATACTGTGCGTATATGTGTATATAAATAACTCCTATAGAAAAACGTTATCGACAAGACAAGTGTCGACATCTATCGGTTTACATCTTTATTGAGAAATTTTAAGAGAGATCATATTTTCTATTCACATTATTATTTTTATCTTTGAACATTTTAAATGAAAAATAAATAATTACGTATATATGTAAGTTAATTTATATAAATAATATAATTAATTTTAAAGAATATAATTTGAAAGAACATAATATAATTTTAAAAAATATTTATGGAATTTTATTAAAATATATTTTTTCAGTGATTTATGCAATTAATAAAAAATTATGTAGTTAGTATTGTTATTAAAGTAAATATAAATTATTAATAAAAATATAATTAAAGTACATTAATAATTATGTTATTTCTAAATATTATGTATAATAATATTCAATCATTTCGATATGTGAAAACATTTAACATACTTAATTTAAATATAACACGGACGTATGCAAGATGGGTTAGCCGAAAACCAATTGCAATTATTAACGAAGATGAACTTTATGAGTGTAATACTACTAAATCAGAAATTTCTAGACAAAGAAGAGTCTCTACAAGAAAATCAAAAAGAATAAAACTTTCCCAAGAAACAAAAAATAAAGAAATTGAAATAACTGTAAAAAAGAATAAATTTATGAAACTTAAAGAAAATGATAAAATTATAACGTATGTTACTTATTTTCCATTATAATCTTAGAAAAAATTGCAAAATTATGATGTAAAATAAAACAAATTATTTTAAATTTCTAATTGTTTTAGATCTTTAATGACTAAATTAAAGTCACGAAAAAAGAGAGAAAAAAACAATGAAATAATCTTAGAAGGACAAAGACTAATTGCAGATGCCTTAAAATCTGGTGCAATTCCAAGTGTAATAATTTATAATGATCCAACTAATATAGCATCATTAAAATTTCCTGAAGAAGTTAAATTATATAAAGTTCCTTATAATACAATCCAATTATGGTCTACTTTAAGTACTTCTCCTGGATTATTAGGTATTAATATTATATATTTTAAATATATAATATTTAATATATATGTTTCGTATTGTTAAATTTAACATTTAAATGATTCCATTTGTATTTTTTTTTTCATTACATAGGAATTTTTAAAACTCCAGATGTAAATAATAATATTCCTGTTAATAATGCTTTACCACTTACTATCATTTGTGATAATATAAGAGAGCCAGGAAATTTAGGCTCAATTATGAGAGTTGCCGCAGCAGTAGGCTGTGAGAAATTAATATTAATGAAAGGTATGATTTTAGATTTATGATCAAATTATATTAATAATTTTTTAAAAAATAATTTGTAATAAATAAAGATTTAATATTTATAGGATGTGTAGATCTATGGGATCCTAAAGTACTTAGAAGTGCAGCTGGTACTCATTTTCAACTACCTATTCTTGCATTTCCAACATGGGATGAAATACCATCTCTAATTACTGAAGATTCTAATATTTTTATAACAGATAGCAATTTTGGTGATGAATTTTTATCTTATTATTCATCTGATATACTTCAGTCAAGTTTGCAAATATTTGATATTAATCCAGAAGATTTCAAATCAAAATTTATTTTGAATAGTGAAGATAAGAATAATAATAATGAAGAGGAAGAAATGATACCAAAAAATAAAAAAATGATGAGACAATTTATGTTAAAATTTCCTATTATACCATATTATTCTATAGATTATACAAAAAAAGAATCTGTAATTATTCTAAGTGGAGAAACTGAAGGTTTGAATTTTAATTCTTATAAATTCTTAAAAAAACGAAATAGTATTCGCATCAATATACCTTTAATAAAAGGAATAGATAGTTTAAATGTAGGTGTGGCACTTGGTATTGTTATTTTTGAAATTAAGAGACAATTTTCCAAAAAAATAAATAAACTTTGATAAAGATTTCTTTAATAAATATTATATGTTTGAACAAATAAATATTTATTATTACTTTTTTTTAATTAAACTTTGTATTTATTATTTACAAAAGCTTATCCTATTTAAGTTTTGTAACAAATAGAATAAAAATATAATTCTAATATAGATAATAATTATGAATTTTTATAATTAAAAATATTTTAACTTCCATTATTAGGTTGAGCAGCAGCAGGTCGAACTGTAAAATTAAAATAATAAAATATGATACATTTGTTTATTTCATTTTTCTTAAAAAAAAAATCTTACTTATACAACTTTGAGGCTGAAATTTTATGTCATCGATAGCAAAACCTCCATTGCTAGCACTTCCTTTTAAAATGAGACGATAAGGTACACGAGCATCTATCGTTACTTGTGCAGCAGTCCATACAGGTCTTGGATTATTAAATCCTTTTGCTGTTAATGACCATAACTAAAATAATAATATAATAATAATAAAATAAATGAAATATTAATTTTTTATCAAATTTTAGATCTTAAATTTTTAACATTTACATTTTTAATATTTACATTATCTTAAATTTTACACTTACTTGTTGTTTTTCATTATTTTCTTCATTATTATTAATTTCTTTGTCAATATTCATTTTAATAATTTGTAGTGTTGTAGATTCCTCAACACCAAAAGCAGCGAACCAAAAAGTGAAACAAACAGATTCTTCATCAGGCGATGTTTGTATTATAGGAGATCGTAGTCGTACATCTGTTGATTGTTTATTTGTAGTAAAAATATCAAAGAAAACAAAATTTCCAGTTGCTCCAAAAGTTTTATCCAATAATTGAGCTGGACGATGAGTAAGAAATGCACGCTGCCACGTGACTGTACGTTCGTTTTCCGAAGAAGTAATATTTTCCCAACCGCATAATCCTTTTTCGAAGCTACAGTCTTCTGATCTCACAGATGCACTAGATGGTTTCGCTAAACATTAATATATTTAATAATAATACAATTAATTTGAAATAGAATTATATATTCATTGTAAAGCTTACCGGAACAATTGCCAATATAAAAAGAAATATCATCAATGCCAATGCTACCGCTGGCACGATTTGGACCCCAAGTACCTTCAAAAATTACGTTAAAGTTTTCGTTTTCATTTATATTGATTTGAGCATAATTCCACGTGGGTCCTTGATTATTGTACAACTGCCAGATTGGTCTAGATTCGGTTGAAGATTTTTCAATTGTTTGTATAGACACACGAAGTACTCCTTTAAATTTATATTATTTTTATAAATATATTATGATAATTAGAAATCAACAATAAGATACAAACCTAAACTTGGTCCAGCAGAATCAATAAAAGATTCAAACATGAAATACCAAAAGGTAACGCACAAAGGTTCCTCACTGCTTTTCATTTCTCGACTAACAAGTTGCGCTGTTCCGCCTCCGGATGATCGATATCCTTCTCTTGGACGACCTAGACCAAGAAAATATTCGTTTCTTCGATTCACTATGTATCCATTGCTGTATGGTTTCCGTTGATTTCTTAGATTTAGCGCTTGTATAGAGAGTCTTTCCCATTCCACTCGATCAGGATCTCGAGAATTGATCCAGTCACACTCATCAACTTCGAAAGTACAATCTCGTAGTATAGGTACAGCAACTTGAGGTAAAGCTATAAATATATATACATATATAACGAATATAAACGAATATTTAAAGCGATTATAATCCTATTATTTTAAATCAAATCTTTTTTTTTTTATAATTTTCTACCTGGACAAGATCCTTGTGCAAAAGAAATATCGTCAATAGCAATATCTCCCATTCCAGTGTTTCCTACAGACGCTTCAAAAAGAAGTTGAAAATCATCTAGAGAACTGATCGTAATTTGAGCTATGAACCATGTATTTCCAGCATTCCCGTTCAAACTCCAAATTTCTCGAAACGGAGCTTCCAAACTACGAAAATGACGCATCAATAGCTTTAAAGTACCGATTCCGGAACCAAACATGTGAAACCAGAAGTGCATACACATAGGTGTATCAGCACTTGGTGCAGGAAAACTAGTGCTAACAAGTCTAGCTTTGTCTCCTGGTCGACGCGGAAAAGAAGAATCTATATACGCATATCCTCCAGCTGTTAATCGATCTGTCGAACTATCCATTGCTGGTCCAGTTGTTGGATTTCCACTGCCTCGACTCTGTATATACATTTATATTATTATATTATATATAAAAAATATACAGTTGTTGATAAACTTACAATTGTCCAATCGAAGTCATCATCTGCATCATTAGCCCAATCACAAAATCCACCAGCAAAATTACAAAAACCGATGCACGAAGTCCCTGGTTGTAAATCTATATCATCTACAGCTATGTAACCTCTATATAAACGAGCTGGATCAGTAGAATCTACGGGAATTCCTTCGATGATCAACTAAAAACAAATACCTTATTTTAATGAAATGATCATAATACTTTTAATATTAAAAGAATTGAATACTATTAATTTTATCAATACTTTGATTAATAATAAGATTTCTTTTTTCTCAAATAAAAAAATAGGACGAGAAAAAATTCCTAATTACCGAATGTACATCGGGATAAGTATATAACATCTGAGTTTGCTGCCAAACACCTAAAGTATAATACTGAGCATTCCAAATAACACGTTCGTCAAAAATTTCCAATGGTTTACAAAATGGTATGGTTGTATTTTCTGGAATGATTTCTTCAGTTTGTTCCTTCTTAATGGAATATTCATCCACACCTACATGAAGTAAAACTCTTAGACCAGCAATGCTAAGACCATCCATATTATACTTAAACATGATGCAAGTTCCAACAACTCCAGTGCTTCCTAGTTGAGGACTATGTAACAATCCTCCTAGATTTTTTGTTTTATCATCTCTTTGTAACAATTTTGATGTTTCAAGAAAAGCATATCTAAATTATATTTGAATTAATATAATATTAAATTATATATATAAATATATTTATAAACAAACACACCCTCCTTCCATAGTACCAGTAGTATAATCACTTGATGGACCACCCATCCAATTGGTACCCATACCTGTTCCAGCCACCCAGTCTAGTATACTATCACCATTTTGCCATTCACAAAGTGTTTGCGCTGGAAATGATCCAAAATCGCAAAAAACTTCATCTATTGATACTGTAGGTAATGATGCTGCGATTGGTGGATATCTTAAAATGAAAGATATATTTTGAAATTATGCAATTTTAAGAAATCTTTTTAATATATTTTTTTATAAAATACCTTTGCGTCGATGAATTTTTTTGAGTAAATATAAGTGGATAAAATGGGTTTCGTAATAGTGGTGTCTCTGTAGTAGAAGAAACAATTGTTCGAGTATATAAAATATCTGGCCAATGTTTGGGTTCAATACGTTCTACTTCATCCAAGAGTTCACGATCATGATTTATGGAATTAAATGGAAATTGCGTTGAGGCATTGTTAGTAACAAAAGTATCAAAAACATTCTTTGTCTCTTCATTTTCTACACTTTTAGTCCAATTGGGAATAAAACTTTTGTTTATACCAGTGATAAGATCTATTTGTTCTCCAAGCATTGAATTCACGGGATACCATGAAGAAGCACATGTCAACCAATAAAGACAATAACATATTAATATCAACCACATTTTGTAAGTATAATAGATAATTAAATAATATTGAGATATTAGAAAAAATCTTAAATTCTCGATTACATCGCGAAAATAATTAAAAATTTTTTATCTTATATATTGTATTATCAATTTTTTTTATCAGAATTTTTTTTAATATAAAATTTTTTACATTAAATTTATTTTAAATTTTACTTTACGAAGATATGAAATTTCGCTCTTTAAATTGCTCGAGAAATTAATTCTTAACTTCAAATATTTTTTTTTTTGATTTTCAAAAATTAACAACACATTTATTGAATTTATATACGCAGAAGTATGATATTCCTCTAACTAAAAACGAACTGAACAGTTTTCAAAAGGTGCATGTGATGAAATGAAACGAGTATTCCGCAGTTCCGGTCTTTGCTTCCTGTCGTTACGCTTTTGATCCTAGTATAGAGAAACCGAGTTCGATAACCGTCCCTTGAATAATTCTATTCTATTAAATTGACTAATAATTATTAAATATTATTAATAATAATATACAAAAATATATAGAAATATATTTAATGATGATTAAACTTTAATAAAAAAAATATTTATTATATACATATAAAATTACATATAATAATTATTCAAATATAAACAAAAAAGTAAATGTTTAAAAAAAGATAAATCATATCTAAATATATATTAGACTAAGAAAGTTTTTTGCGCTTTCAAAAATTTTAAAAATATTTCAGGATTAAAATTCTTATTATCCTTATTAGCAGTATTCAAAACACGTCCTAAGTTTAAATATATTCGAATAATGAAAGGCACTAGATAAGGACTCAAAACTAATTGATTTGTTTTTGGACGATAAAATGATTGTTTTCTCAACATTTTTGATATGAGACTAATAACAGATGATGATGTTCCTTTAGGAAGAGGTCGTGGTTTTTCTTCACAAACCTTTTTTATAATTTCTGTTAAAGTCTAAAAATTAAAGTATATCTATAAAAACTGAAATGAAATCACAAATTACATCGATTGAAATGTATTATATTATTTATATATATTTAACTGAATATTACCGTAGCGGAAAAGGGATGTTTTTTCGCAATCATTTCATAAAGAATAATACCCATACTCCATATATCGCATTTAAAATCATAAGATTCACCTTTCAACATTTCTGGAGCCATATAACAAAATGATCCAGCACAAGAAATAATTGATGGATTTTTTAATCTATATAATAATAGTATTATATAAAATCATTTATATTTAAAAAATTTAATATAAATTCTATAAACTTATTTTTTTTACAATAAATGATACTCTTTCAAACTCTTCGATACACCAAAATCTCCGATTTTAATAATATCACCACGACTACCGGTCAACATGATATTTTCCGGTTTTAAATCTCTATGAAGAATCTTTTTAGAATGAATATGATGAACTCCAAGAACAATTTGAGAAAATAAATATAATGCATCCTATATAAATATTTAAATTGAATATCTTATTAAATTAAGTATGTTATGAAGAAGAAAAAAATAATATTTTATGCTTTCTAAGTTCTTACTTCCTCTTTAAGTGATGTCTCGTGTGTTTTTAATAAATCCTTCAAAGTGCATCGTGTTGCATATTCCATAATAATGTAACAGTGATTATCTTCTATCCAAGCTCCATGATAGACTATTATATTAGGATGTCTTAATGTGTATAAACATTTCACTTCTTCTAATATGCTCTAAGTAGAAAATGTATCTGATTAGTCATAATAAAATACAAATACAAAGAAAATTTTTCATATAATAAAACATTAAAAAAATATAATTTTTTTAAATTATTAAATTAATTATTATTATATAAATATAATCTATTTTATTTTAGAAATTTTCTTACCTTAAAAGGTAATGCATTTACATTATCAAAAATTTGTTCTTTAATTACGAATGGTTTAGAATCTTTTTTTCGTCGTACTAAATAAACGGATCTAAAAACGAGAATAAAAAAATAAAAAAATTAAATAAAATGTAACATAAATACATACCCAAAAGTGCCTTGTCCTAATAGAGTTTCAAATATATAATTATTTATATGTTTGGACATTTTTAATAAAAATTATAAGAAATAACAAAGATTGAATCTAATTATAAATTTGCAGGTAAATATAACTACCGACTATCAAGCATTAATAGATTTGTTATGATACACCAATATAAATAAAACTTCGAAACTATCATTCTATTTTGAATTTTTTTTTACGTTAAAAATATCTATATCCAAACAAATATTATAATTAATATATTATTAAATATTATAATATAATTATATATATTTGTTTCCTATAAAAAAATTATTAAAAAATGTATAATAATTTATTGATTCAATTAGTTTTGGAATTTTTTCTGGTGTGATATTATAAATTAAATGAAATTATATAAACTACAAATCTTATAATTTGTGATATATAAATTAAATTTAATTATTTCAATAATATGACGTGCATAGATTGTGGGTTTATTATCATTCATAAAAAGTGTTTACAAAAACGCATTTTGTTTGCTCACAATTTATAAAGTATTACTTTAATGCTATTTAAAATCTCTAAAATTCATTAGCAAACATTCTATACATATTAACGAAAGCACATATGCAAAGGTAGGGAAAATTGGGGCATTAAATTACATGTAGTAGTTTTATTCGTCTTTTTTACAAATAACGCAATAAAGATTTTTTTCCTAAAGCGTTTAGATGTATCATATTATATCACGAAAGAAAAATATGATGATGTAGTTGATCTGATTGAATTGCATAGTTCATGATAGTAAACGTTGTATTCAAGAACACGCAGAAAATTTATTATAAATGATAAAATGACACAATGACAAAAAAAATTATTTTTCAAGAATTGATCGTAAAAAATATCTTGACCATAATAAGATAAAACATAGCTGACAAAACAATATGGCTACTCTAATTTAAAAAATGTACACATTAGATCAATGTATGAACTCTTCAGTTTTAGAATACTCGTGCACACATCGACAATTCTGAATGGAATTGAACGACGATTATGTTGACCAAACATTTACTTCCAATGAAAAAAGCAAATCACCTTATACCCTAGTGCAATGCAGAATTAGATGATACTGCAGTATGTACAGAGTATCTCATAAGATGTATTGTCAAATTCATATTAAACCAAAAAATTATCTTAACTAAAAAAAAAAAAAAAAAAAAAAAAAAAAAAAAAAAAAAAAAAAAAACAATTCTTGATGCTTTTACGTGATCATTTTTCTCAATTATATTTTTATTGAAGCAGAAAAATAAATGCATCCTTAATAAACTTAATAAATTTATATTAGTTATAGTATCAAATAAGAATATTTGATATTTTTTTTTTATATTGATTTTGTGAATATTTCTACAAAATATTCAACTTACATTATTACAGCGCATTCTAAATTCAAAATTCAAAATTTATGAATATATCATGATAATATTTGATAAAATTACAATCCAATTTTTTTAAAAATATAATAAATATATACTTCAACGCAAATTTGATGTACACAATGATTGTAATAGAAATCAATATGACACGATTTGCAACTAATAATTAAGTTTATTAGGCATGCATTCAACATAATTGTCAATGATTCTCAATGATTAATGACCATGTGATAACACTAAGAATTGCTTCATTTTTTTGATTTAGAACTATCTTATCTTTCGGATATATCACATCCTATGAAAAACGCTGCATACAAATGCATATATTTTTACTTCATTATTCATTTGAACTTTATCAATAAAGATTTTAAAAAAATTAACTATTACTGGAATCTAATATATTATTAGTATCATTTGCAGAGGAGGCAGAACTCCGTGATTGTTTCAAGTTGTCCAAGTATTCTTGCTGTGATGTAGCCAAAACTTGTGAAAGTATATCACTGTCTTCCCAATCAGTTAAGCCTAATAATATAAAAACACATTTTTACGAAAAAAATTATTTGTCTTCATTAAAACATTTGAAACTACTTATTTTTTTCTATTATTTAATATATTCGTTAATTTTAGTTACCAAATACTTCAGGAGGAAGACGATTGAATAACGAAATATCCGGTGAAGTATGAGCTTCTTTACTACTACCTGGCACGGGTTCCTGAGAAATTTTAGATTCAAAATCTGAGGCAAGATGAGACATAGTAGATCCTTGAGTTGATTGGTGTTGTGGGGATCTTTTATTGTATCTTACCGAATCATTTATCTGAAATTATAAATTAAAAAACATAAAACATAATATATAAATTACATTGTTTTAGTAACATTAGTACAAAACGGACTTTTGGTGAATTACGCAAATTATCTTGGCTAGTTTGAGTCGTGGTTGGAGAAGAAGTGTGGCTACGTTGTTGACCACGACCTCCATGAGAGTGAAAATGCGCGTGACTGTGTTGCGCACTTGTTACCGTACTTGTACTGCTGCTACTAGCTGATCGCTTTACAAAATAATTCTAATTACAAAATAATTCTTTAGTTCTATTAGTGTAAGATAACATAAAAATTATATGGAACTTACAGCTTTTCGCATCTCATTATCCCTTAACCATTGTAAATAACTTTCTCTCGCAACTTGTTCTTCTATAGCTTCATTTGTTGCTTCCCAGTCAGTTGCTTTTATTTTATCTTCTAGCATCGTCTATACATAAAAATAATTATTCTTTTTGTTTATTGTAGAAATTTAAAGTTTACAATGATTTTAAATATAAAAATCAATTATAATCTTCACTTGTTCAATATGCAATTCTTCACTTTGACGAACTGCATCTGATATAAGTTGTCGATCTGCAGCTCCAGGATTATATGATGGTAGACCAAGACCAACACCAATTGTAGCTTTATATGGATCTACTATACTATTATAATGACTACCACGTTGATAAGACAATCGTATCGGTTCATTATCACTTTCAACCATTGTATGGAAAATATTAATTGGTTCTGTATATAATTATGATATTATTAAATAATATTA